CCCCGGGAATCATGATTTGAACAAACATGAATCTACACTACCTGAGGATGCTTCCATATCAATATGACTAAACATGGCTTTGCTGTTCTTGAGAAAAAGATTTTCCTATATAATTATGCTACTGCAGAAAATAGAAGAGGAGTTCTGGGAACCAGGGTGTTTTGGTATTTAAAAAAAAACGTCAATTTTGCGACACCCATTTGACCCACCAGGGTGAAAATGAAAATTACAAAACCATATTGCACATCTACAGGACACCACCAATCATCTTCCAAAAGATGATTAGGCTACTGCAGGAAGTATAGAGGAGTTCTGGGAACTAGGGTGTTTGTGTATAAAAAACATCATTTTCAACCCCCCCATTTGACCCCAAGGGTGAAAATGAAAATTCCAAACCCTTATTGCACATCAAAAGGACACCACTTATCATCTTCCAAAAGGTAATAAGGCTACTGTTTAAAACGTAAGAGAGTTTCAGGAATCAGGTCATAGTAAAAAAAAACATATTCCACTCCCATTTGACCCTTGGGGTGAAATTGAAAATTCCAAAACCTATTTCACATTTGCAGGACAACACCAATCATCTTCAAAAAGATGATTAGGCTACTGCGTAAAATGTAAGAGGAGTTCTGGGAACCAGGTCTTTGTAGAAGAACATCTTTCTTTGGCCCCTGTTTTGCCCCTAGGGTAATATTAAAATTCCAAAACTTAATTGTAAAACTACAGCAACCTACCTATCATATTTCAAAAGATTAATTGGTTACTGCTTAAAATAAAATAGGACTTTGATGAAGAAGATATTGTGACAGCATAGTTGCCAACTCACCCAATTTCGTCGGGTTACACCCGATTTTTTTACCCTTAACCCGATTATTTTTTATGACACGGCGGGTCATGCGTTTCACCCGATCTTTGCCGATCAACCCGAAAATCTCCCGATTTCCGGATTTGCTTCGTAAATTAGGTTGCACTTTTAACTTCCAGTTACAACCCAAGCTTGGATCTACGTAAACAATACCGATTCAGTAGGCCGTGTACCAGTAAATTATCTGTGCAGGTGTAAACAATTACCTGGGAGTTGTTTTGACAAGACAAAGGGCCAGTAGGAACACATTGAACCAAGAAAAAAGAGAAACGATATTTATGTACATATCAAGAAATCTTGGAAAACAATTTTCATCAGATGAAATAAAATGATCGAAGATAGTGTAGGCCTAACTGTACATTTAATACATATTGCACTTGTTAATTGAATTAATTCGGGGGGTGGGGGGGGATAACTTCAAAACCAATATTTGAATACTTTCAAATTTAGCACAAACATGTGCTTCAAATCAGCATTGCAGATTCTGAAAAGGCTTTCTTTAAAAAAAAAAATGCACACTTAATTCAGGTCAATACTGAATAATGAAACCTTCATTGCTCTTTTTTAACATGTAAATTTAATCAGTATATATAAATTTTTTGTCATTGTAAGTTAAAGCCTATTTTTAATAAAAGAATTCTCAATACACAAATACCTATATAAATATAGATATATATATGAATTTAATCATGGTAAATATGTCATGAATGTCGTTACGCGTTATGACCAGATTTTTTACTTTCCAAATCTGGTCATGACCAGATTTTTACATGTTGGAGGTTGGCAAGTATGTGTGACAGACAGATGGACGGACAGAATGGGGTAACAACAACATACAGTACCGACCAGACACAACCTAACAGAAAGCGAACCCAGAGCGCACCCCGGGTTCGCTCTCTGGGTTCGCTTGGGGTCCGCTAGTGCTGACCCCGAGCGAACCCGGAGCGCACCCGTAGCGAACCCGCGGCGAACCCAGAGCGAACGCTGAAAGCGAACCCCAAATTCAGTAGCGGTCCCAGAAAGCGAACTCGCATTCGGTGTTGCGTAACAGAGCTGTCAATCAAGATTAGCGATTAACTCATCAGCGCGTCGACCAATCAACATGCCGAACAGGTCTGACAATCAGGATAAGTGATAAAATGCATTGACCATCAGCGCATCGACCAGTCAACATGCCAGTTTGTAATCTAAACACTGTACAAGCAAAGCGTGTGAATAATAAAAATATTATATATATGATTTTTAAACATGATTTTACATTTATATATTTTAATTCTCCAGACAACATGCAATATTTACACATCTATTTTCGTTATTTTTTATATTTAAAATGTATTGATACATTATATATTTTTATTATCCAGGTAGCATGTTACATGCATAGTTACATATTTATTTTCTTTATATTTTTAAAATCCATTAATATATAAATATGCACTGCGTAAATTTATCAGACAATAAGTACATTAATTCATAATAGAAAAAAAGAAGATAATAATTGTTATAACAATTGTTACTAAAAAAAAAAAAGGATTAAAAAAACTGGTCTCCGATAAATTATAGAATTTTATTATCTCAAGATACAGTATAAGAACATGTACGTGCTTTAATTCAATTATTTTTTATTTATTATTTCAATTTACATGCACGTTTAAATTCATACAGATCACCAACGAAATTATCGATCTTGATAATTGATCATGAAAAAATTAAATGTACATGTACATTGTACAGCATAAATGTGCATTATGTCAATACGAAAAAAATCTTCCACCTATTTCGAAGATATTGCGGGTGCTAAGAGCAATTGCGATGGGTTTTTTTTAATTGACACTTGTAAGCCGGATGTATACTGTCTCCATGGTCACGGTATACCTGAGTATATACTCCCCCTACATTCGATGCCCCTTATGTACCTCGTCTGGGCACGTTATCAATGAAAAATTCAATTATTATTATTCTTTTCTTTTTTTTTTGATTTTTGAATTTGGAAACGTCATAGTTCTTTGGTACGTCGCATGAAGAGTACATGTTCATGTAATTTGCTGCCACCTGCATGCTGAAAATTAGTAAAATAGCTTTACGAGAGAGAAAGAGAGAGAGAGAACACTGTATATTATTTGAAATTAAAATCGCTACAACCGGACCATAGAAAACAATTCGAGTACGGAGAGGAGTGGGGGGCTCATCGAAATAAAACAATAAAAAAAACAAACATCGGGCGTTATTATCTTTATTTCATCTACTTAATCATGCGAGTTTACAGTTATTGAACTCTTGTTTTGTTTGTTTTCTTTCTTATTTTTATTTATTTTTAAACATTTAGGATTTTGTTTGTTAACATGCTCTATGTACATGTAAGTAGTGGGCGGGGGGGGGGGGGGGGGGGGGGGGGGTCATGAACCAGTAAGGAACACAAACTATTCAAATGATCATTCACATGTATTTGAAAACAACTTAAAAAAATAATATATTCTTATCAGTGGACAAGTTATTAGTTTTTGTTTGTTTTGGTTTTTTGATTGTTGTTATTGTTTTTTATATATATATATATATATATATAAGTCTTCCGTTAAACTCGCCTTATAAAACAATGATGTATAGCATGGAAGTAAATTATAAATGATCTGTAAAACGAAACTCAAGTTACACTGTATGAGAATTTTTAGTGATTATCTCGACCTACATATACATGTAATGGACAACAACCTAGCTTAAATGTAAACTGCTAAACATGAAAATTCGCATTATACGTGTACAGTATGTCTCAGCTATTTCATAGATAAGATCATAATTCAGTTTTTTGTCTTTCAAACATTTAAATTACGATTTAGCAATTGCAATTATAATTGGAAGTTCCAAATTATTTTAAAACGCACGAATAATGTAAACAAATGAATTTGAAGTTTTTTTATTAAGATACTCATATCAATTTCACTCCATCCGATACATCGAAAATAAATTTAACACTTTTTCTTCTTTTTTTTCTTTCGAGATATACTTAGCTTGTAAGTTAAGAAAAATAAAAGTGATAATTCTACGTCGAATGTACGGTGAAATTCTTGAAAATTTATATCAACGTTCTCCATATTGTCAATTACATGTACATGTTTCGATCGCCTTAAAAGCAGTAATGATCGATTTCACTACTGTATTTGGAATATACAAGGGGCGGGGCTTACTGGTGGCAAGATTAAAGCGGGGTCCGCTTCACGCATGAGTGCGTAAAGCGAACCCGGAAAGCGAACGCCGGGTTCGCTCTAGCGGACCCAGAGCTGACACCGAGCAAACGCAGAGCGAACCCGAAGCGCACCCAGAGCGGTCCCAAATTTTCTGAAAGCGGTCCCGCAGCGGACCCCGAGCGAACCCAGGAAGCGAACCCGGGGTGCGCTTTGGGTTCGCTCTGATGTTAGGTTGTGTCCGGTCGGTACTGTACCTGAACTTTCTTTAGAAAGTTTGGAAATAAATATTTGAATATATAGAATAATATGCACAATGTCTTGAAAGACAAGTGGGAGCTTCCTGGGTAAGGTTTAGTTAAACGGAGTAAGTGAATGACTTCATCAATTTTAGATCTACTGGTCAGAGACCAGAGGAGCTTATGCGATAGTAGTGTGTCCATCATATGTCTGTCTAGCTGTGTGTCTGTCTGGAGATCTGTAAACAATTTTTCAAAATGCTGCTCCTCCTACAGTTCTGGTTTGATTTAAATATAATTTGGCACACAAGTAGACTATACTAAGATACATAATTCTGAATATCGGTTTTTGATTTTGATGAACGGTGTTGCCATGGTTACTAATGATAGAAATGTCTGTGAAATACATTCAAAATGCTACATCTCCTCTAGCTTTGGTCTGATTTCAATATAATTTAGCACACAGGTAGACTGCATTAAAATACCTAATTTTTTATATCATGGTGTTGCCATGGTTTTTAATAATAGAAATTTCTGTGAAAATACTTTCAAAACACTACTCTTCCTCCAGTTTTGATCTGATTTCAATATAACTTGGCACAAAAAGAGACTAACCAAGGATCATTATTCTGTTTATAGCTGTTCAATAGAGCTACAGTCTCATCAGAGACTTCTGGTTATTTTATTACATGCTTTTTTCATTTCCATTTTCAATAGCAAGGTACCAGGCAGCTGTGTGTACATTCATGGGGAAGATTTATGTTATTGGTGGTACCGATGCATGGATTTGCTTAAATTCAGTGGAGATCTATGATCCAGAGGTGAAAAAATGGCAGTTTGGTCCAAAGCTGAGCATTCCACGACGTGGAGCGGGTTGTGATGTTTTTAATGGTTTGTCTTTAAGATAATATACATAACAGTGTTTGAAACTCAACATAAAATTAGCAAGACATGCAGGGCTGACTGCTAGTGAAAGTTGTCAGTCCTGCCAAAAATTTACTAGCCAGAGAAAATAATTGTCTTTTATAACTTTGTTTTTAGCGATAACGTGAATGGGGCCAGATTTTTGAACCCGGTTCTTAAGGATGACGAGTTCTATCCCTCTTGCTTCTTACACTCTGCTACAGATACTATTGGTTGATTTGAAAAAGATTTATCAAATATATGAATTTTAATTTATTGCAAATTTTAACATGTCAAGCAGGGCGTCCATATGTGCAGATCTGTTCACTCGTGGCAAAATTTGTGCATCTCGGGCGGTCGTGCACACAGTTGTTTCAAACACTGTATATACATATATGAACAAAAAAAATTGATAGATTAAGTCTTTTAATCATTACAAATGCTGTTGTATTTAAAACTTTAAAAAATAGGATCGATTTTTCTCATATCTTTTCATATCCCTTCAACAGCAGTAATGAAATAAAATGGATGCTAAAAATCAGGTTCTTATAGCCAAGGGTGATTTCCTGGCAAGGACAGCTTCAACATAATAAAATGTATATGAAATTCTGGGTTCATATACCAAAGGATGTTTCACTGTAGAATGGATGGATTTTGCACAAAATATATTTGTCTTATGAATGGTAGAAAACATTTTTGAAAAATCAAATGATTTTTCTCACAAATTTACTTGGACATCATGCTTATTGAAAAGTGCAGACATAAACATGTTGTTTTTTTTAAAATAGATTTAGAATAATTATAAATTTCATTCAGTTCTGATAATACTTTTAAAAATATCAACTAAATTCATCATTCTGTATGAAAAAGAGCTAGGTTCACTAACTCCATAAAATGGCTCTGTCCAGTTAGACAATAACCTCTTCTTACAGATTTCCACAAAAATTCTCAGGTTAATCCTTATTAATCACCTGCGCCAGACTCTTTTATACACACAAAATAAATTCTACCTCCAACCAAGGGTATAAAACAGAGTACATTTCAAAAGTATATTTTTCATAAGCATTTTGAACATGCTGAATTTCAATCAAGGGTAGGTAAGCGGTATATTTTTTAAAACATTCGGACATATAAGACTTAAAAAACCTTTAACAACCCATGAATTTTGCAATAGCTATCTAGCATTTTACATGCAGTTTGAAATAAAGTGTAAAGTTCATGACACTCTCCCCGTCATAACACTTCAAGTTTGCAGTGACTTGACGTCATTTTCCATTATGACGTCATATTTTGGTAGTTCAGAGATGTGAAGGCACAGAGTGCACTGTGATATTCTTCAGGAAGCCTTAACCTACCTGCGTGTATATCGCTTTTTGTCAACAAAATGAATTAATAAAAATAAAGAAATAAAAAAAACACATACTTATGGACATGCAGTGTACATTTGATGCATTATACAGTGTACATATACCTTCATGTTTCTTATTAGATAAAAGCATGTACGTGTGTATTTAGGCGCTGTTAAATATTTACTGCATGAAGAAAATATTTAGCAAACTAAATAATCAAACAGCAAAAAATTATGATGATAAGAAAAATAAATAGACGCTTGTTGCCATGGCAACAAAAAAGTCTTCCGTTCTTCTCTTAATCTCTAAGAATTTGGTTTTCTGTATGTAGAAAAAAACATACATATATTTACTGTGGAAGAAAGAAATAAGTAGAAAATACCCTTTCAGTACTTAAGGTACTTTGATTACAATGACCGATATTTTGTATAATAATGCATTTGGCACCCATGGATAGACCTCTATCAAAACTATACATATCATAAAAATTATGCAAATAAACCTGTATAGAAAGTAGCGTTTTGAATGTCCTTTTTCACTAACTTTTGCAACGCCATTTCATATATGTATATACTAGCTTTTGTCTTACACATTGGATTACAACATTTTGTGTGCCACGTCTTATATATTGGATTACAACATTTTGAAAAATTGTTTGCGAACATTTATACAGAGAAACCAGGGATTTATTAGTACTTTCTCTGGGCCCGAAATTCGGCCCCATTCCCAATTGAAAATTAGTTCAAATTTTCCCAATTTGGCAGTATTTTTTCTCAATTGGTGAACAATGCTCTTATATTTAATTATCTTGGAAAAACACTAGGTAAAACTGTCAGATTGTCTGTAATTTTCCTAAATTTAACTCGTTTAGCAAAGCTACAGTCATAACACATTTAAAAACACTATAAACATCAACTTTTAATCCAAATTTCTTTCCTTTTTAGGTCACCTGAGTCACTCAGGTGACCTATTTAGGGCTTTTCGCTTTCAGGCGAAAAGCCCTATTGTTTTCGTCTTTTTTATTATTATTATTATTATTATTATACTGAACACTTTTTTCGTTCAGCATTTGAGGAGTACCTTTAAAAATAGGATATTTCTCTTATAACCACTAAATAGGAAATGTAAATATCTCGCGTATGTAAGGTACTGAACTTCCGGTTTAGTCACTTCCGGTTTCTACTAAAGAAAAACTAAAATACCTAAAGAAGCTAAAATCTTTCTCATTTTGAATGTCTAGACTCTCAAATTCAGGATATATATTCTAGAGACCAATTCCTACAAAAAAGTTAGCGATGGTGATTTTGACCTACTGATACTTTCTGAGATATAAGACTTCAAACATTCAAAAAGGGGGGATGAAATTTTTAAAAGTCACAATTAAGGTTTGAAAATTATTTTGAGCATTGAAGTACATTAAGACTAATAAGTAAAAAATATACTGTAAGTTTCATATCGGTCAGAGCCGAACTTCCGGTTTTAGGGGTCTTTGAAAATTGACTATGGGAGTTTCTATGTTAAATTGAAATCAGTCGTGGCACGTTTTCTCTTGAAATAATCAAGATATTCTTATGAGATTTTAAGTGTAGAATGACCTTGATGTGATACCGACCTCATTGGGTCACCAAAAGATAATTCTTGAAAATAAGGGATTTTTAGGGGCCAACATTGAAAACATACTTTTTCCTGTAACTTTTTAATTTCTCAATGAATTTTTAAACAGTTTTCTATTCTGGGTTTAGATCAAAGAGAACAATCTAAAAATTATGGTCCGTGGGTCACTTTCTGACCCCTTATAGGAGTTACAGAAGACTGAAATAACGTAATTTTTATTTATTTAAAAAATAATGGAGTAAGAGTTATCTCCCTTTGAACATCAGTTAACAGGCTTACACACTCTTTAGGTTTCAAGTTTGGTATGCATATGACAAGTACTTCCGGTTTTATGAATCTCTAAATTTGTCTATGGGAGTTCTCATGTTAAATGGAAAATTGCATATTTCACGATATCTCTTAAAGTAATCAAGATATTATTGTGGAAATTTAGTGATAGAATGACTGTGATATTGTTTCAACCCCATTAGGGTTTGAAAATGAATTTCTGGAAAATAAGGGATTTCTAGGGGCCAAAGTTGAAAACTGACCTTTGCCCATAATTTTTTAATTCTTAATGAATATTTTGAACAGTTTTCTTTTCTGGGTTTAGCTTAAAGAGTACAATCTAAAAATTATGGTCCGTTGGGTCACTTTTTGACCCCTAATAGGAGTTACAGAGGACTGAAATAATAAAATTTTTATTTATTTCAAATATGATAAAGTAAGAGTTATCTCCCTTTGCACATCTGTTGGCGGGCTTACATACTCTTTAGGTTTCAAGTTTGGTATGCATATGACAAGTACTTCCGGTTTTATGAATCTCTGAATTTGTCTATGGGAGTTCCCATGTTAAATGGGAAAATGCACATGTCACGATATCTCCTAAACTAAATAAGATATTCTTGTGAAAATTGAGTGATATAATGACTTTGATAATGTTCCAACCCAATAAGGGTCTGAAAATGAATTTCTGAAAAATAAGGGATTTCAAGGGGCTAATATTGAAAACTGATATTCCCATGTAACTTTTTTATTTCTACATGAATTTTTAAACAGTTTTCGATTCCGAGTTCAGCATAAAGGGTACAGTTTAAAAATTATGGTCCGTGGGGTCACTTTTTGACCCCTTATAGGTGTTTTAGAGACCTGAAATATTGTAACTTAGTAATTTTCAAAATAACAATGTAAGAGTTACCCCCCTTTGCAGAGCTCTAGTGAGAATTACATACTCTTTAGGTTTCCATTTTCATAAACTCCTGAAGACTTGATCCGGTGTGATTTTTTTTTATGTTGTTCATTTTGTTAGAGTTATGGCTGTTTTAAGCTCCTTATTATTTAATGCATCGAAAAGCCCTTCGTTTTTGTTGAACGACAAAAAAGGTCTAGTGCTATCTGTTTTTGTCTGTCGTTGTACGTCGTTCGTCGTCAATCGGTCGTAAACTTTTGAACATTTTTAGCTTCTTCTCTGGAACCACTGAACCAAGAACAAGGTACGGTTTCAATACTAATCTTGCCCTGAGTTTTTCTTAAAAATAAAAGTTATGTAAAAAATTAAAACTCATGCTTTTTGAATTATTGAAATTCTATGCAGAAAGATCATACAAATCTTTTTTCTCACATGACCTTCAAAATGCTAATTGTGACGTCATAAACCTGTGCATTTTCCCGTATTTTCTTAAAAAGTTGCAGAAGACATCAATTTTCAATGGAATTTTCTTTCAGATAATATTGTCCACAGGCATCGCCCACAAAGATTTTGAGATATGTGATTTTTCAAAGAATTTTACACAACATATCTAAAAATTAATGTGGGCGACAGCTGTGGACACTATTTTCTTAAGGAAAATAACCCTTGAAAGGGGTCATTTTGAGGCTTTTTTTCCGTTTAAAATAGAGAAATGCATCAAATTAATGACATCATATATCAAGAATGGTACTCCATTATGCTATATTCTTTCCTGATTTATTACAGTCATATACCCAACTAATATTTAAGCCAGTTTCAAAACTTTTCATGGCCCCTGCCCCCCTGGGGCCTGAGGG